TGAAATAAGGAGAATAACCTTACTGGTCATAAGTACGTAATAATGAAAGACATTTCTGCACAGTCAAATAGAAGTCCACTCATATAAAGGTTGGTTCCAGTGAAATTTCTTTTGGGGAATTAAATACTTTTCAACAGTTCCACTGACGTGCATTATGAATTACTGACCACACTTTAGTGAAAGCAATCACTGCTCGATGTATTCCGTTGTTATGGCATTACACCAGTGTTGATCAAAATGATCTTGAATATGAGCGCATATTTGTAGCAGCTTTCACTCAGTCTGAGGTCATTCTTAGAAGAAAGAAAAATCGCTATTTTTAGCAACCATAACCGGAAGCACGATTCGGAGCCGTACGGATGTGCCATAGATTGCCGTCCCGCAAATAGCATTGTCCTTTCGTTTCGCCAGTAAATGGATCGAGTACGTGGCGGGGTTGAAGGCACCTTATCCTTCTTAGAAGCCTATCGCCAGAACAGAAGAAATCGAAGTATAGCACGAAACTTCCAAAACCCCGAGACTCTCGTCAACCTCTCCGATGTTACGAAGAATTCGAAATCTGCTGCTGCTCATGACAGTGTCACTCGAGAAGTAGAGCTCGGATAAAACGGCGGATATTTTAAGAAGCGATGTCGTGAGCGTTGTTCCCAGGAATGCAATTTGTACTGGAATTGACCGAGACAGGCGGATCTGCCTAGGAATAGCGCAGATTGCTTCCTGTCAAGGTATATTGTTTCGTTCGGTGGCTTTGTACAAGCAATACAAGCTGATCTTACAAAAAAAAAACTACAACGATTTACGCGCTAAAAGAATAGCCCATTTCTTACCATTTCTTCAAATATCAATTCAGGGAAATTATACAACCACTCGCTTGTGGCACGAAGCCACGAAGAAATCCGTATATATTTTGACAAAGAAAAGCGTCTTAGTTGCCGAAACGGGTGGTTGTCCGATTTTCATTTCTGAATCATTCCGCTACCTTGCGGGTCTCCGCAGAACTCGTTTGCATGCCTGAAACATCACAGCAAGGAATTTAAAAATTTAACGCCGGAATAATAGGTTTCAAGCATGTCTACTTTAGATTGCATTGGAATTGCTGCTCAATAGTATATTTTCAAAGGCTCCGCTAGAATTCTTTTCTGGGAAAAGGGGGGAGGGGGGGGTAAGTATAAGCATTTGTTTGTTCGTGCTTGTATGCTAAAGGCACACATGCAAAATAAAAACAAATGTGGTGTGGGTGTCGCTTTCCTCTCCCCCGTGGCTGTACATCTTTGCTCGTCGTAGCTAGACGTGAGCTGCAGAGTGTTTATTAGCACGTTTCCGTCGTTGATGCTGTGTAAATGACCTTACTTCTAACGCCATCCATCTAGCCCTATGTGATCGTCTGTCGGTCTCAAGAACAAAAGCCAGAAGAAGAGCTGCGTGAATCACGGAAGAAAGAATTGCACAAACAAGAAGTTCACTTTCCACTAACTCGGACTAGAATGGCATCCTCTTCCTAGGAGAAGGTGTTGCTTTCTGATAGGTAAAGAAAGATACGTGCTCCCATGGCACCTACATTACCATGTGACTGATGTAACTCATACATGAGTGGAACACACGCTCATTCAGGCTCATGGCTTGACAAAGGCAATGAACGCTGGCGTTTGCAGTCCATAACTGCCGCTAAAGAGTTCTTATATTCTGTCCTCTTATTCAGTTATAGATTTTCATGTTGTTGAGTAACTTCGTCGATATCAAAAGTTCTCTCACTCATAATTCCAAAATTCCGCATAAAGACCACTGATATAGTACGTTTCTGTACTCGTACAGAAACGAGTACGTTTCGTACTCGTATAGATTGATGGTATGTGGTGTTTATCGTCCTAAAAACACCATATGATTTTGAGAGACGCCGTAGTGGAGGGCTCCGGAAATTTCGACCACCTGAGGTTCCTTAACGTGCACCCAAATCAGAGCCCACGGGCCTACAGCACCATTGCTTCCATCAAAAATGCAGCCACCCCAGCTGGGATTCTATCCCGCGACGTGAAGGTCACCAGTCGAGTACCTTAGCCACTAGACCACCGCAGCGTGGCAACGTGTATAATCAAACCGCGAAAACATTACACCTAAATAACTGAAAGTGGTTTTTTTTTGTGCAAGTGATTGGCCGAGTATGTTTCATTGAAGAAGTTAATGAACAACGAAAGCACGATAAATGGTGCTTTCTATGCTGAACTAATCTGTGGAACTAGTCAGCTGCCTTCTCTGATTATATGTAGGACATCGGGATTGGCCAAAATTTTTCGCACGACCAATTGCAGCGTAAAACATTTTTCGTCAATGCGGGCCCTGAATAGTTTACTAGTCGGAAGAAAAGCACCTCTCGCTGGACTCTATTAGCAATCAGAAACAGCTGACTATCGGCAAAAGGGTGTTTCACATCAGCCTTTTTTGTTTATATAAAAATGTGGTAATACTAAGTGACGGCGCAAGCGAATTACCCCCTCCCCAAAAACAATTTCATTTTAAAATATATAGTTCGCTTATCTTGCTATCAGGTTCATTCATTTGCGTCAAATTTCATTATTTTGTATTTTTCGGGTATCAATCACTTGTAATAAACACTAATGGCTTTACAAAATTTGTATTTAAAAGGGTCCTTGAATATCTTTCCAGCAAGATAAGAAAACGCTGCTGATTGGTAATCAACTACCAAGAACGCGTGAGCTGTGCCATCACGGTGGTCGAGTGGCTAAGGTACTCGGCTGCTCACCCGCAGGTCGCGGGATCGAATCCCGGCTGCTGCGGCTGCATTTTAGATGTAGACGGAATGCTGTAGGCCCATGTGCTCAAATTTGGGTGCACGTTAAAGAACCCCAGGAGGTCACAAATTCTGTAGACCTCCACTACGGTGTTTCTCATATACATGCAGTGATTTCGGGACTTTAAACCCCACATATCAATCAATCAATCAAATCAATCAAGAACACGTGAGCCAAAAATATACCGAAGCGTTCGGGCAGAAATTCACAATAACTTTTGAAAGTCGACTAAAAAGCACTTCCTCTTTTCTCGACTATATACACAAAAACTACGGCGTCACATATTAAACTTCTATACCACTGGCTGATCTGAGCATGGTGGCGTCCTAGTACTGCGGCCACCACGACAGCCCACCATATGTGCTGCCCGCGTGCATGAGACAACACTGAGAGTCAGCATTAGGTTTAGATAAAAAAGAACATGAAAAGTGCTCAAAATTATTAGATGTGTGTGACGAACCTTTTTGACCTATGTCATCTCTATTTGCTTAGGTTCGAATGGTTTTGTAGGGACTAGAGAAGAGAGAAAGCATTTACAGCACGGGACACATCTCTGTAACTCCGCTCACGCCTGACAAATTCTAAACATTTTTGTGGTGGTCGATGCATGAGGCCTGAATGATGCATGATGCATGAAGTCTGTAAGGATTACGAGCTACAGTTTCTTGACCTAAAGCTAACTTTTCGTAAAGATCATTTGTGTTGGAAATATGACCCAAGATCAGTGAAGCCTATCTTAAACTACAAGTCTGGCCATTCTAAGATTGTGAAGAGAGCGATTGCAAAGACAATCTTAAATGCGTCGCTCAGGAAATCCTCTGTGCACGTGTCGAATACTGCTTTTCATAACCAGGTAAAACGGTTAGTAGATGCTGGTTATCCTGACAAGGTGATTTCGGCTGTGTTTGAGCCAATGGTTCGGAGCGTTAACCTCGTGAAACACAGAGGAGCTCAAGAAAATATTGATAGAAAAAGAAAAAGAGCGGTTTTTTCTTATGTACACAAGTTGGCGCATGGGCTGAAAAACGTAGGCTCAAGATATGGTGTCGACGTTCTTTTTTCCGCCAAACATAATATAGGTCGCATTTGCCCGATGGTTGATCATGCGCTGAGGAACAAACAAGCCAAAGGGAGATGCGCGGTGAATCATAAGAACAAGTACATCGCATGCGTAAAAAAAGCTGTGTATTTAACTCCATTATCGTGTGGTAGGGAGTACGTGGGACAAACGAAACGATGTGTCAATGTTCGTTTAAGGGAGCATGAGTTATCTCTTCAAGGAATCGCGCGACTTCATCTGCCGGAACATTGCAGGTCATGCGGTTGTCGTCCCATTTTTGAGAGAACCACCATCATCTTCAGGCATCCTAACCAGCTAACAAGAGAAATCGCTGAGGCATATCATATACAGATTAGGGGGAGCAAGTGCGTTAGTGAACCATCCGTCACACTGCATGAAAAAGAGTTAAGTTATTTAGGCCAATCTTGTTTATTGCCATAAGTGTGATAACGCTACCTCGGTGCACCTCGTATTCTGCGCATGTTGTGATGTAGGCTGCCAGTACCTATATATACACTTTTCATCCCGTTTTTTTCCAATAAACAACAGTTGTGAGTCAGCGCCGTCTTTTCTTTCTCTTTTGCTCCTTCCCTGTCCTGTATTTTTTCTGGTGTTGCGCTGTAAGTAAGTTCACGATACATGAGGCAGTGAGCTCCTTTAGTGGAGCCATTTCATGTTTACTTGAAAAAGTGTTGCAGGGTTATTTTTCGCTCTGGCAGTGTGCTTTATTTTTTAGCGGGCATTGGTATTTTTTCAGATGGAAGCCCTTTTGCGTCTGGTGAGAGATGCCAGCTTTCATTCTAGGGAAGGAACCTAAGGACAAAAACCAGCCAATACATGAGACATTATTGTTTTTTGTCGCGCTTAGAAAAATGCATATCTATACTTGAAATAATTTTCTCTTTCTCTCACATTTATTTACAGAAACAAGGGGAAATATAAAAAGATTCACTCATGAGAGGAGCTCTGCTGAACCTTCCGACAGCGGTCTCTGCATTCCAGAGCCTACTGTGCTCGCGCCATGACTTCGGACATCCTGAACAAGAAGCCTTGCCTTTACACTGTTTGCGCAACGCTGCCGACAAAAGTGCTAAAATATGGCTTGCAAGGTCTGTTTAAAACCTAGGAGAGCCATGGAAGCGGCAGTAAGCGACGCTTTCGTTACGAAAGACGACTACTTGTCCAGTACCACCACCACCACCTTCACCGTCGATAACGTAACGGAAGCGAACTTCAGCCCCGAGGACGTGCTGGGTCCTCGATACCACAAGCAAGCACGCATCGTCATCATTATCATCATGATAGTCACCTCCGTCGTGGGCAACAGCGTTGTCTTGTGGAAACTTGTCGTCAGGCGTCGTCGCCGTCGCGTTTCGAAGGCCAGAGTGCTCTTTCTTAATCTGGCAATGGCGGACCTCTCGGTGGCCTGCGTCACGATGACATCGCAGGTCGTGTGGGAGGTGATGGGCAGGGCGTGGATTGCGGGAGACGCCTTCTGTCGCTTCTTCAAGTTCTTACAGACGTTCGCCCTCGTCTCCTCGACGTACATGTTAGTGACCATTGCTCTGGACAGGCACATCGCCATCGCCACTCCTTGGCTCCCAGCCCCGATCCGTGGAAGCTGGCGGCCATCACTTGGCTTACATCCTGCGTGCCTTCACTGCCGAACGTGTACGTGTTCCACAGCGTCGAAGTGACGCCGGGAAAGTGCTTTTGCGCGTCCATATTCTACGACCGCGGCGTGCCCCTCTATCACCGCCAGATCTACATGGGATTCATTTTCATCGCGGTGTTCTTAGTTCCCCTCGTCCTGCTCGTGTCCTTTTATACGGGAATACTCTGGGCCATGTGGAAGCACAGTTCAAGTAGCGGCAAAGTTGGTCAGCAAACAGCATCGTCCCTGCCACGAGCAAAGGTGGGTCGACCATTCGTGTGCATGCTTCGCACTGGCATATGCTTTTACACTGCAAAAGTTTTGATAGATTCATTGCTCTTTCGTAATTTCGCCCTAGATAGGTTCTAATGAAGCATTACTTATTTAAATACAGATGAAACTTATCAGGACTTCAGAAAAGAAAACTCGTACAAGCGCATTTTATTTCAATAAATACATACCAAGCCACTGTCACGCTTGAAAGCTAGGGCAAATTTAGAGTTGATTACATTTTTTGGTCACTATTTTGATATGGTTCCTACAGAAAGTAACCTGTGAATACTTTTAACCACTTAGCTATTAAACCCGCTCCTTCACACATTAATTTATTCATCCGAAACACTTCTCGACGTATTTTGCATAAACGCAATTGCGATACTCATTGCTACCGCCATTGGTGTGCAATGACTCCCTAAAAATGGCATGAAGTAAGCGTTTAACTTCTAATAAAAAGTCACAGCTTTATCACAAAAGCGAAGCTATTAACGCGATAGCAACAAATTGGAAGGCCACGCGCAGAATGGCAAGCAGATCGAAATGTACCCGTATTTCTCACGCACAAATAACTCACAAAACGTACCTACAGGTACAGGTGAATGCGAATGAGCGTCTAAATTATTACTTCGCTGTGTTACTTCGCTGTGTATACAAAAAGCATGCTCTTTTTGCGAAAGTTCACTGCAATCGTGCACGGTGCACGATTGCAGTTACCTTTGTGCGCCCCGTGACTACAACAGAATCGTTCCGGTGAAAGCTTCAGGACAGCAAAGATATAAGATGCGGAGTCCCAACCGCGAGATAAGGGCACGGGAATGTGCGTTCAGGGTATTCACGACTACCCACTTCTCACCGGGAGGCAAAGTACGCGTTAGAGAAAAGGGCACGCGCCACCGCGCGCGCACTGCGCCATCTTGCTGTTAATGCTGAAAACGTGATAGTTCCTCTCAGAGACGCCTACCATTAGCGGTAAGTGGTAGATATATATAGCTTGCCGTTTGAGCGCTGAAGGACGTGCTTCTCCGTATATAGCTCTGTGGTTAACGCCTCGTGTACACGACTCGGGGGTCCACGTTCGATTCCGCGCGCCTGAGTCGTTAGGGTTTTTTTTTCTTTCTAGCGTATTCATATATATATATATATATATATATATATATATATATATATATATATATATATATATATATATATATATATATACGGTGCATTACATCGACGCCAGCGGCAAAATCCAGCCGAGAGTGCCCATATAGTTGCTATCGTAATAAAACAGCCCGTTCGCTTATTGATTAGGTCTCATATAGAATGGTTGCATATAAAATAATAAAGACAAAAAACATAACTTGTGACAGCAAATCCACAAGCGATTGTTGGTCACGAAAAATGCACGTGCACTATCGTATCAATTTTTGCGTGTTTCCGACCTCCATCCTTTAAGCTCATTTGGGCCCAAAGGCATATTGCCACAATTTTTTAAGTCAGCTGATCTCAATAAAATTAGCTCCCTGCATTCCTTCGGAAGTTTTTGTCATTTATGCCAAATTAGAGGTTCGGGGGAACTGCAGATTGTTTGCAAGTGAACTACAATATCCACCTCGAAATTTCTGCACATCAGACTACAGTCATTGGCAACATTGTGAGTGTGACGTCATATAAAATGAAGCCACAGAAGTGACGAGACTGAAGTGCACTACATCGTCTGCTGTTCATAAGTCAATGATCGTGTGTGTTTGGCCAGTGTTTCCTTCGTTCAGTGTACAAATCTAAGTTGTAAACTTTGCACGATTCATTATAATATTGCGAAAACAGCCGCTAAACGCTCACCGCTTAAAATCAGATGTTGTCTCGATAGTGGAGAGCCTTAATAAACTATGCCAGTTTACCGTAGTGCGACACTGCTGTACTGGCTGAAGAATGGATATGCGCGAATCATACCATACGTAAACGCTTTCCGTAACGCATACAAGCCGCTTACCCAGAAATGTTTTACGGATAAGGGGGGGGGGGGGGGGAGGGTCGACCATATCTCGTGTATTTTCGGGCGTGCGTTGGTGTATGTGGCTGCATTTATATGCACGCGAAATCGAAAACTTCCAAAAAATTTTGACCCCCTCCCCCCCCCCCCCATTGCAACGCTAAAGGTATGCTGGGTCTATACTGTGGCTGCATGCATATATCTGTACACGGCAGTTGTGCATCATCTGATGGGTAGCTCGTACTTCTATTGTATTATATTTCACCAATTCTATCGACCATATGCCAAAACGCCGCTATCCACAAACATATGCACCCTTCCCGTAGCACTAATAAAAATATTTAGATCGAACGCAAATTTCGCAGCGTTTGCGTTTTACCTTACCGTAGCAGCCACTAACTTCAGCATGAGAAGCTTCCGCAGGTGGTGCCATCTGGTGATGCAGAGTGCAACCAGGCAAACACATGAAAATAACGACAGTGTTCGACTTCATTGAAAAGAAGTATACAATCTACTACAGATTCAAATAAGTTCGAATGGCAGCTGTCATTGTCAGACAGCTCCGAGGAGCTTCTGAGTGTGGCACGGTTAGTCACAGACATGATACTGATTTTGTGGCATGGTCATCATTTCGCTAAGCGTCCTTTTGCAGCTTTCATACTCCGCACTGGTAGGACCGTTATGCCTTGCACAATTTCCAGTTTTCATCGCCTTACACTTTACGCAAAAACAGTATAAGTTGGGGTTCGGTTTCGGTGTAGCGCGTTTTCTGACTGACTAAAAATTGATTTCGTGTTTTCTCAGTATTTCTACTACTGTTGTCGTGACAGAAGCGTGTCAGAAACATGAAAGATTCATTATTTTAACATGATAAAAAATCGCTGGACTCAGCCTTTTAGCGTTTGTGTTTCCTTCAAGCTCACGCTCTTACACCTTGTGTGTGTTAATTCCTTTCTTTTTTTCTTTCTCTTTTACTTTCTATCTCTTTTTAGTAGTCCCCAGTAACTTCCGCTAGCATAGGGTAATATGACAGTTTTTCTTTTCTTAAACACTGGTTAATGCTCTTGCCTTTTTGTATTTCTCATTTTCTATCTTTTCCACTTTAAGATATTGCATGGTAATAAAGTTAGGACAACTCTCTTACAACTTCCGTGTGTTTACTTTAAGTGCTCAACACTTTATTTAGATGTATCAAGCTGTCATATAAATGTCAATGGTAAACTCTTGGCTAAAAAGCAACTATGGCAATCATATCCAATATGTCGTAAAATCCATCGAGGTTGTGTCGGTTTGTGCCTTCAATAGCACACAACTAGACACGGACCAAAAAAAAATCACAGCATATCTACGCAGTGAATGATGATGAGCGGAGCAAAGCATCCGTCCATCCATTCGTCCGTGTGTCCGCCCGTTCATGCATGCGTCCATGCGTACAATCGCGTTCGAGAATGCAGATGGTGCGTTGGTAACACCGATGAGACGCGAGCGGAGGAAGCCGAGCGCAAGCGTCTTCAGCGCGCCCGCCGCTCCGCTCCGTCCATGCCCCACCAACGATCCGCCACGTATGGCCACTATTCAGGAGACGTCAGGCACTCGTTCGCGCACTCAAGCAAAGCGCGCTCCGCAGCCAATCGAAGAGTAGTGGCACTTCAGAAAGTAGCGGCATTGTAACACCATCTAGGAAATGAGATGAGAAATGGTCATTCATTTCTCTTTCTCGTATCTTCTTTTCTTGGTTACGCGTAACTAGTGACAGGGCTAGACAATAAGGAGCTTCGCCCCTAAAAGTGGGGAACCGTGTTAAGGTTAACAGACCGTATACATGACCGCGGTTTTTTATACGTCTCCCTGTGATAAACTTCAGATGATAGGGAGCACTGTGTGTTATTTTCCTTCTCTTCGTCTAATCCATACGTGTCAATTCACTCTGTTGAATCCACGAGCCATTTGCAATGAATTTCTCAAAATACACTTGGGAAACTTTTTATAGGCTTTTTTTTTTCTGACGTTTGAAGGATAAATGCGTTGCAAGCTACAGCCAAGCCTTAGAAAAAAATGAAAGGAAATAAACATGCTGAACTGTCACTTGAAACACTCGTACTTGAGTGATCGAACTCTTGATAACACCGTTTTCGTTGGCCCCTATTTGATTGGACTCTTCTTTCTTCCTTTTTTCAACTAACATATTTTTCTGACCCACGTAAGATGACGCGAGGTAGTTCTGTAGCGTAGCAGATTTTTTTACCTAATAATTTGATAAGCAGGAAAGCATCGAAAGGACGTACAAGGGGTGTGAAATGAAAAAAAAAAACTGGGGATTATAGCTAGATGGATGGAAACAAGTTCGTTGATTATGGCTACCACAAGTTTTTCGCCGAAGGCACTTGTTTTTGTCGAAAATTCTGGTTCATGCTGCTCGTCTGTGAGCCAAGCGGCATCATGAAGTCAATTTTTAAAGCTGGTTCACAACTATGGGTGATATGTCTGTTTCAAAAAAAATAACTATTCCCAAAAATGCGTTATTCTTTCACAAGCAATGAAGAGTGAGGTTCCTTGGCAACATTTTCTGTGCCTCGTTTACGAACTGCATTGATGCTTCAACTGCGTAGGATGAAAGCAGAGTGAACTTGCCTGTTCTTCAAGGTAGCACAAAAAAAAGTGCGATGATGATGTTTCGTAATATTAAATTCACCAGGCCCAGCGAGCACTGAAGTTATTTTTAAAATAGCTGCACTGTTATGTTATGTAATATGTTATGTTATGTTGTCCTGTGCTGTGTCACGTTACGTTATAGTTGGTTTGCTGGGGAAGGGCTCACGTCTATATCAACACGGCAACTCTATTTCTATAGGCTCTGCAGGGCCAAGAAAAAAATAGTAGCGCAGAAGCAAGTGCATTGCCAAGCACTGTACAAAGCTGATTGAAGTTTTTCTCGTCATGTCTTGCATTCCATTTTCGAGATGTCATCAAGCTTGATTCACCAATTTTTCCGCGCTGAATGTCCTCACGT